CAGAGATACGGAGCGCCGCCAGTCTGCGACGGCGGACCGAGAGGCAGCAGAAGCGGCACGTGAACATGATGCTTCGTTGGCTGTACAACTATCATCTGCGTTGGCAGCTCTAGAGCGACTCGCAGAGGAGCGTGAGGAGGCGACACGAAGGGCGGCAGAGTTGGAAGAACAGTTACAAGATGCAGAGAATACACGGGCAGAGCTTGAGGCTGAGGATGCTGATCTGCGTGAGCGCCTCTCTGCGGCAATGGCGTCCATCGACCAGCTTGCAGAGGAGCGCAATGTACAGGCTGCGAAGGTAGCTGAGCTGACAGATGCCGTTTCTCGTCTTGAGAGCACTGCGGATGCTCCTGGCCTCGCTGTGGAGGCACTTGCCGCGGAGCTGCGCGAAACCCAGGACCGCCTGCGTGAAGCTGAGGCTGAGTCCCGTGCTGCTGCTGAGCGTCACGTTGCAATGACTGTGGAGCTGACGGAGCGACTGGAGGTGGCAGAAACACAGTTGCGCACCAGAGATACGGAGCGCCGCCAGTCTGCGACGGCGGACCGAGAGGCAGCAGAAGCGGCACGTGAACATGACGCTGCATTGAGTGAACAGCTATCATCTGCGTTGACAGCTCTAGAGCGACTCGCAGAGGAGCGTGAGGAGGAGACACGGAAAACAGCAAAGCTGCAACACGAGTTGCGAGACGCACAGAATGCACGGGCAGAGCTTGAGGCTGAGGATGCTGATCTGCGTGAGCGTCTTGCTGGTGCTCTTGTTGCTGCTGACCTTTTGGTTGCTGAGCGCAATGTACAGGCTGCGAAGGTAGCTGAGCTGACAGATGCCGTTTCTCGTCTTGAGAGCACTGCGGATGCTCCTGCCCTCGCTGTGGAGGCACTTGCCGCGGAGCTGCGCGAAACCCAGGACCGCCTGCGTGAAGCTGAGGCTGAGTCCCGTGCTGCTGCTGAGCGTCACGTTGCAATGACTGTGGAGCTGACGGAGCGACTGGAGGTGGCAGAAACACAGTTGCGCGTCAGAGATACGGAGCGCCGCCAGTCTGCGACGGCGGACCGAGAGGCAGCAGAAGCAGCACGCGAACATGATGCTGCATTGAGTGAACAGCTATCATCTGCGTTGGCAGCTCTAGAGCGACTCGCAGAGGAGCGTGAAGAAGCAGCTGAGAAGGCGTTGCAGATGGAGGCGTGCATAGCATCTTTGGAGGAGTCATTGCACGAACTACGTATGTTACTATCGGAGAGTCGTAATGAAGCGCTTTCCCTTAGAGAGGATCTAGATGTAAAGGGTAAATTGTTGTCTGATGCTCTCTCTGCTTTAGATCGTGTTGGTGCTGATCATGCAAATTCAGAAATTGAGTGGGGTGAGCGTAGTGAACGTTTTCTACGAACATTTGAAGAATTGCAGTCACAGTTTGCTGTCACAAAGAAAGGTTTTGAAGAGCAGTGGCAACGGCGTAGTGAGGCTTGTACCGCAGAGTTAATTGCTGCAC